AGAGAGAGAGAGAGAGAGAGAGAGAGAGAGAGAGAGAGAGAGAGAGAACATGCACACCCTCATGCACACGCATGTGACTGTGGTGTCTGAGGAGGCCAGAAGAAGGAATCAGATCCTCCGGAGTTAGAGTTGCAGGCAGTTGTGAACTCTCGAAATGGATTCTAAGACTCAAACCCAGGTTGTCTGTAAGAGCAGTATTCTCCCTTAATTGCTGAGCCATCTCTCCAGCACCCTGGAAATATTTTTAAATGCACAAACTCTCCAAGCCTACATCCTAGCTGCCACTTTGTTCTCCCAGGGGGAAGCAGAGGCCTCAACATTGCAATTAACTTGCAAGAAATTGCAGTTCTTGAGCTCCAAGGAAGGAAGGGTCTGCTCCGAAATACGTGCGCCTCCAGTCATACCACTCTACTGGGCCAGGATCACGGCCCCTCCACACTTGTACCAGACCTGTAATTAGCTGGAGACGTTAAGCAGTTCAGCAGTTGTGAACAGAGGAGAGAATAGGTGTATCATCACTTACCATGGGGGTCTGATCAGCAGCACCCTTCTCTTCTTATTTATTCGCCTGTATGCACTCAGAGCCACATCCCCAACTCAGACCTTGGAGTGGAAGAACTCAGTACCCCTCACCATCCCATCACCTGCCTGCGGTACAGCAGAAACAGTCCGCCTCTCTTCTCATTCTCTTTCGGCATTTTAGGTTAGAATCTCGAGGCGGCATGACACATCCCAAACCATTTTCAGAGAATCTCTTATCATCATGATACCCTCCACAGCTTAATGCCAGCCACCCCTTAGTCTACGGCAAACTGCAAGAATAGCCCCGGGTCAGGGTCCTCATATTTCCAAGTCCACTGATGAGGGAAAGGCATTTGTAAGCAAGCGTGATGCGTGAAGAGGAGAGACATGATTAAACAGTGAGCTGCGGCAGCCAAGCAAGCTGTGAGGGAGGTCTTCATCCGCACAGAGCAGGGGGATGTCTAGATGCATCCCACCATGCCATCTGCAAGGCCAGCCTTCCCAACAGCATCCTACAGTGAAAGAAACAGGCAAACTCAACATGGTCCAGCAAAGGAAGGGACAAGGACCTGGATAAGTACAGGGCAGTGAGTCCTTCCTGTGCTGCAGACAGAAGAATATCGAAGGCAAAGATGATGAAGGCTGCTCTATCTCAGTGACCATGGAAGAGGGACCCAGTGCCAGGTCCTCTCTACCACACTGGCCATTCCACTCACCTCAGCAGCAAAGTGCTTCCCACTCACGGTGTGTTCAGAGCCATGGGGGTCATTGCGGTTCCCCCAGTGTAAGTGTAGCTGCTCCGCTCTGTATTGGTGATGCTGGAGGCCCTGGATGTACATGTCCGAGTTCAGATTCAGTCTCACTGTGAGGAACAGAGAAGCAGCCTTCAGAGCCCTGGCCAGATCAACCCTGCTAGAAAGCAGGCCCGCAGGCAGCCACTGCACAGGTGGCTGCAGGTACAAGGAGCAGACCAGAGTAATGATGCCTGCAGGTGAGGCTCTTGCCCTCCTTCCCTGCTGCAACTCTAGTGACACCAACGCCTTCATGGATCTCCCTGCAAGGCACCAACTCTAAGCCAGTGATGGATGTTTCTTTCCTTATCCATGTATCAGGCTCCTGTCTACTATACTAGAACCTTCAGTGAAGAGCTTTTCAAATTGGAGAGTTACAACGGCAATTGCTATTTAAGAAGCACTTACTGTACAACAGATGCTGATATACCCAATCTGTAGAACGGGTGTATCAATAGGTCCCTCTTCCAAAGGACAACTCAAGGAAGTTAAAATTCTTACTCACTCTGATGAATCATTAGTATCTGTGATGGCTAATCTTGACTGTCAACTACATCTGGAATCAACAAAAATATAAACAATTGAGCACAAGGATATTCTTGGTTGGATTATTAGATTGGAAAGACTTTCCCCTAAACCTGGGTCATATGTGTGTGTGTGTGTGTATGTGCTCTGTGTGTGTGTGTGTGTGTATATATATATATATATATGTGTGTGTGTGTGTATGTGTGCTGTGTGTATGTGTGTGTGTGTGTGTATATATATATGTGTGTGTGTGTATGTGCTGTGTGTGTGTGTATATATATATGTGTGTGTGTGTGTGTATGTGCTGTGTGTGTATATATATGTGTGTGTGTGTGTGGTATGTGTGTGTGTGCATGTGTATATATATGTGTGTATATGTGCTGTGTGTGTGTGTGTGTGTGTGGTGTGTGTGTGTGCTGTGTGTATGTGTGTGTGTATGTATGTGTGTAGTGTGT